CTCTACCTGTTTTCACCTTGCACAATAAAAATTAGACATAACTGACTGTGTTAGTTGATCTTAATGAAGACCAAAAAACATCATAGAATTTTTTTAGCCCCACTAAATACAATTACAGGTCAATTAATTAGAATAGGTTTATTTACTTCAATAATTTAATTAGACAAGAAACACTCACATTATATAAATTAATTATACATACAGATTGTAATATAAAGAATTTTCTGCCTGGTTTAGGTCAGGGCAGGTTGCTGGCAAATCCAGCAGTGACAGTGTGGTCATTAAAGCTGGTATTGACAGTGTGGTCAGGTGCTGTGTCCTGCAGGAAAAAACCAACCAGCATCTCCATAAAGCTTGGGAAGCATGAACTCCTCTACATTGTCCTGGTAGATGTGGACTATGGATTTGATAAAACCTCCATGGACATCAGCAGGTGACATGGCACACCGAATCATCACACTGGACTTCATTCTCATACTCTGCATTTTAGTCGGAAATCAAGTCCCCAACCTTTACTTTCTTCTGAAAAGATGACTTTGAAAGACTGACCAACAGTCCAGGTATTTTTGTCGTAAGCATAAGGACATTTCTTTAAGTGGCAGCTCTGGAAGCTCTTCCTCTAGCCACAGTCCACGCCTTGTAAATCTCTCAAAACTGTTAGATTGGCCATGCTTTAGACTCATGGTGGTGGTAATTCCTAATGTTTGCATCCTTTTTCTAAGAAACTTTTTTTTTCTCCACTCATCTTTCTGTTGCTATGCACGGATACAGCACTCTGAACAGTCAGCTTCTTTTAGAAATGGTCTTTTGTGGCCTAACCTCCTTGTGGAGGGTGTCACTGACTGCAGAAGAACTGTCTGGTCATCAGTCTTCACTATGACTTTGTTCTTCACATTTCATATCCGTTTGCCACGTATTATTGTAATTTGCAAAGAAAGTATGGATGATCGTATCTCATAAATGTTTACTATTTGATACTACAGCTTTGAAACATGGAATAAGTACAGTGTAGCTGATACAGAAAGACAAACCATGGCTTCTATCCGCAAGTTAAAAGTTAAATCTATGCCTTTTGAATATGTCAAATTTGCTATCTGAAAGGGAGGAGGTGGTTTAAGCACAAAGTGTCAGTTTTAAAAATCACCTAGACATAAAAGAAATTAACCATTAGCCTGTCTTTTCCTTTCCACATGTAATATTTAAACCAAACGTCACCAATTTTTTTCTCTTTTTTGACAACCACAAGACTGCAGTTTGATATAATTCTAGTTTAAGCAGAACATGAAAATAAACCCCATCGAAATACACGTTTCATTAAACAATGAAATGATAGAATATCTCACTTATTAGATATTCTACCATAACGTCACATTTGTGTGGCTTTTAGTTACATAGACTGCATTTTAAGTTCAACTCTTGACTCCTTTTACAGCGGTTTAATATGCAGCTAGCTTTTTAGGTCATTTCTCTCAGTGTTGCAGCTGTTTGTTTATCCTGATCCTGACCCAGTCGAATGAAGGTGTGGACCAGTATTTGAACAGATGAAGCAGCTCTGTTAGATTTTTCCATTGCTACTATGGCTTCAAGTGAATGCCTGCCAATCGTTGTCAGTGAGTCTTTCACATAGTTCAAATTCCACAACAGGAACTTTCTGGTTGTTGAGACAGAACAGATAACATCTTTGAGGCTGACTTCCTTTCAGACTGGTAGATGTTAAGTCTGAAGGTGTAGCAGAATTCCCCCGCCAGCATTCACTTAATTTATACATTTATTATGAGCCATATTATTACAAAACATAAAGCTACTCTAAAGTCATATATTAGAATATAGCTAAAAATAAATAAACACAAGTTCAAACACAAAGTTGCAGGACTAAGGTTTTAAAAATCTACAGACTGTCAATAGTTTGACATGAAGTTGTTTTCTGGCAATATGAAATAGAAAAACAAAACACTGTCGTTGCTGCACACTGCTTACCAGATGGCTGAAGGAAGCACACAACACTTTTCCCTCATTACTTTAAGTGATTGAAATCCACTAGTCTCATATAATTACTCTTATTAAGGTAAAGTTGTTTTAAAATGTATTTGCATCTTTCTACACTCAATAAAGAGGTGAAAAGAGTCAAGGTTGTAAATTATTTATATACTTAGCATGTGTTTTCTCAATATTTTTGATTAAATCTGTGCAACCAATTAGATTTTTTTACAGATTAAAAACTTTTTAAACATGCATTACTTTAGCAGCATTACTTTAGCTTGTGCAGATACTGAAATAGCCTTCACAAATTAATAAACTGAATATGTTTTGTCCCCAGAAAGCATCTTGTCTGAGTCAGTCAAAATCAGGCTAGGTCTCAGGAGGTGGTAACACAGTGCAGCAGTAATTTGGTAAGGCTGTACTATGGCAACAGCTCAAGGGATCAAATGCCTGTCTCAGTGCTGCAGTTTTCGAATGTTCTTTTTGACACAATGCTGAGCATGCGGAAGTCCATTTAACATGCACCACGTCCCTGTTGAAAGAATCTGGTCAGATGTCAGCTACTGTCATAATTCAAACAATGGCCCGTAATTTAATAATCCCCATCTTTTAATGTTAATCCCCATCACAAATGCAAAATGAGGCCTCAATAAAATGAATAAAAGGACTGAACAGGGAGGATTCATTAAATCTGAGAAGGATATAGTTGTGGTTCAGAGCTTTGCAACCACATCTTCAGTGTCGCACAGCAGGCACTCAACAGCCCGACGCCTGTTGAGTGCCTGACCTTAGAGGACAGCCAAGCACTCTGTCCCAACAGTCCAAAGTTACAGCTGTGCTTTCCACACAAAACAAAAACTACCATGGAAAATCCTAAATCCCCTCAAACATGCAGGCTGCAAGAAAATCTCCTTCCTGTTAATGCTAAGAGTATTAACAGGTGTGTGAAAATGAAGGATGCTTACACCCATCTTGAACATCATTCTAATTTAGAGCTTTTAAAGAAACATTTCAATTGTTCTTTTCTCAATATGGAATGAGCACAAAAAAAAATGCAATGAATTTCAAAATCCTTTGGGCACAGTAGACAAAATTCCCTGAGGAATTACCACATTATATACTATAGAGCAGCACTTTAATGTAAGACGCACCTACAAAGTTAAAAAAAAAAAAAAAAAACTAGAAACATACATATAAAAGCCGCACCGGGCTATGAACTGCTGATATCTGATATTAAGGACGTAGCCCTTCGTCTCCAACACCGAACCACGCCTACCTTACACCGTAGGTTCACGCCTGCCTTATATGCAGCAGTTCCATTTTCCTCCTGTACTGCCAGATTAATAGCCCTCAACTTAAAAGCTGCATCATATGAACTTCTTAGTGTGGTTTCCACGATGAGGGAATATGAGTTTGAAGAAATTTCTCCGTCATACCTGGTGCTAGCATGGGCTTGTTCAAAATGAAACAATGGCGCTTTCACCTTTGATTTCCAATTTTGACTTCCAGTGATTCACTTCCTGCTAAAGAAGGCTTGGCCATGTGTTATTTGACTGACAATGTTACAATGATAGTGATGCAGCGCAGCACTGTGGGGTGTTTAGCAGAAGCAATCTAAAAGAAAAGTGTGGTCATCTTTTCACATGATTGTTGGTAGGGATATTTATCCAATATATCTAATATTTACTAAATATTAGATATATCTAATATATGCTATTTTAAAATATTAATATATCTAATGTTAGATCTAAGAAATGTTTCTTATATAAGAGCAATATTAAAATTTTATATTGATCCAAAATTTTTAATAGCCTACTTCAAGCATTCTAAACCAGTTATTGAAGTGTGTTTGGGATCATTGGGAGGTGCAACCTTATAAAGTACTAGTTGGGGAGTGTATTTGTATATATATATATATGTATATAAACAACTGATTATATACCCATCCCATCTGCACAATGTGGGCAAATATACAGTGAGTGTATATTTTAAAAATTATTAAAGGTATTTATGAAATATTTATTACAAAAGAATGGGTTAAACGTGTAGTAGAAACAGCACCAAGTCAGTAAGGTACTGTGAAGTCTGTCCAAACAGAAAACCAACCAGTTTATTTTATTTGTTTCCTGTCACACGGGACTGTTTTGCCATCACTGGCTTATTGGTTTACCCTGTAGTGTCAATATTTTTCCACCCATGCTTGGTAGAGTTTACATTATAACCTAAGTTAACTATGAACACACTCCTTTTGTTCCAGAGAAAATTAGTCCCTGTGATGCAAGACATTGCAGCAGTTTTGGTCACGGTTAAGGACTTAAAAAGATGTTCCAGTAAAGCCAAAGTTCAAAGTTTCTTTTAGGTCTCGCGTCTTGGGAGGCCCATTGATAAACAAGCTGATAACACTGGGTGGGCGAGTTCCTCTGCACGCCACTGTGTCACTCTGTCCCCACCAGTGAAATGACAGCACAATGTACTGGTAAACTTTTCATAAATCCCAAGGGAAGGCTTTTCAGTTCCACCAGCTTCCTCTTTATTGTTGTTGTTTTGTTTTTGGGGGCAGCACCCATCCCATCTCCACAATGTGGGCAAAGGGCCCAAAAACCAGTGATCTTCCAGCCAAAAGCTGGAGCCAAAAGCCTGGAGGGAAGTTATTATTTTGCACAGGATAGTTATAAACATGCAAAATAACCTCATAAAACCAGGACGCAAATTCATTCTCAGCAACAGAGGTGTTCAAAGGTGTAGCTGTTTGACATCTTACGCTGTTTTGCATACAAACACGTCGGAGTCCTGGTCAACCGGTTGTTAGACCCATTTCCAAAGTACTGACTGAGGAGGGAAGCTAAGAGCTTCACTTGACAACTAATAACAGCTAATGCTAGTTATGAATGGTACAACAGTGATACACCTACAGCAAACTGTTGCTAGACTTGGACTTGTCAGCTGCAAAGATACTGGCAGCAGCAGCTTGCTTAAATCGCTGTGAGAAACAAAAACAGCTTTTTTGTTCGTTTACTCACCAGATAATCCATGTACTATCGCTGACCAGTCACAGCAGCACGACCTAGCTTCGTAATAATCCCTTTTTTGCTTGAGTGAGTCCAAATGTTTGAGGGTTTTAGCAGGCGTCTCTTTGTATTCCCCGCCTTCCTTCCGACAGCAATGGCTAGAAGACTAACAACGAGCTTTTCTTGGGTTTAAAAAAGTGTTTTTGTTAAAAAAAAAAAAAATAGTCGTCTCCTTCCCCTCTGTGAGACAAGTTCCACTGCAGAAGCAGCAACTCGGTTTGTTTCACAAAGGGGGGAACCCCGCTGTGTTTGGTTGGTCTTTGTCTGAACAAACAGCTCCCTTTCCACCGGCTGCTTTCCAGTTTTTATCACACAATAATATCAGTAGAGACAGTGTTTGGTTGAGGAAACTAACGAAAGCGTTCACGTTACGTCACGCACGTCGTCCTTTCTCCTTACGCACGCAGCGCGATGACGTGACCAAACACATGGAGCCTATTTTCGTTGCCCAATCTGAGGAGGGACGATTAAATCCGACGTTTCTTTGATAACAAATCAGTTTTTAAAACCCAAACATTTTGATTAGAGGAAATTAAATAGGGTTTGGATGTTGTTATTATGAATAATTTATTTACATAGCTGTGGGACATTACACTCAGAGCAATAAAAGTTGATCTTTAGGTTTATTTTACTACAAAAAATAAAACAAACAGAAAAGTGCTACTACTAAAAATAATAATTGTAATAATGAGAACTAAAAAAAAGAAACGGAGGAAGAAGAAAGTCAATGTGAATATGGTTTGAGTGGATGGCATTGCTGCCCTGTTGTTATTGGTGTTAAAAAGCAAGCAAATACATGTTCTTAATGAAGTGACTGGACAGTGTTTTTCTATGTATAATATAAGAAGAATGAGTGAGAACACCCACTCAATGCTATTCTTTCTTCCATTACCTCACCTAAACTATATTTTTTGTCAGGTTTTTAAACTGGGTTACATTTGAACATTGCTTCAATTCATTATACAGACCAATGAGTTACTTTTCACATGCTTAAAGTGTTTTCTATAATCTGCCTAGTCTGCAATGATATATGTTTATGTCTCCAAATTATGTGTAGTGACCCAGGGTCACACTTATTTTTGGGTTTGTAAGCAGTCATAATCTTCTAAGGGATATATTTAGCTGAATTTGATTGGCCCAAATTGGAACAGGAGCCATGAGAAACGCTGCCAGTTTGCTGGCACCACAGGGCTAGATACATTATAATATCAGGTAGACTCCTAAAGAGTCTACCTGATATTATATTTGCTTTAGCCTCTTATTTGCTTTAGTTTCACAATGGGAGCTCAGCATGCTTTCTTTTTTCATAAAGCTTTGTGAAATCCTGCTGGTTAGTATCTGTGAAATATTGACTTTGATCCTCAAACTACATCAACCCTTTTATTTCCATGGTTTTCTATTATGATCAATGGCATGTTCTCTTATCTTTCACATTTTCAGGAGAGTTCAAGAGTTTTAGACTCCAGGGAAACAGAATGAGATTCCTTACATTAATTGAACATAGAACTAACACTGAGAGTCTGAAAACAACTTTTTTATCGGCATTGTTGTGGATGCCAAAATTATGGCACTGTGGATTTTCTAAATTGCATTTTTTTTCATTATTTATTTATTTATTGTTGTTAATATGTTCAAATTAAAGACAGCATTTTTCATTATTTCTTAGTGCAAGAATATTCTACTGCCATGGAAGATTTATTTATTAAAATGTTTTTAGATGATGTTAAATGAATTCAGAAGAATGTTTTTATCAAATGTAATGTAGCTTTAGGACCCAAAGCCTTCCTTAATGTCTTTATTTTTGCTGAAGACTTTGTTTTTCTAATCATATCTCTAATAAATTATTTTTTATGACAACTATTAAACCGCAGTCTTTCAGAAAAGTTTTGTTTTCATTTGCGGTTGGATTTTAGTTTATCCATTGCATTCTGGTTCAGTTCCTTACCAAAATGCATTGTTACAGTGGAGCTCTATGCTCTATTGAGGCCAGATCATGACTGTCTGTGTTCTATCCAAATAAGCTTTGGTGAACTTTTTGTAGTTCTAAGAAGTTACTCTCCATTTCTTTGAAGACTTGGCTTTTACAGAGTGTACTTCTGCTGGAAATGTTTTTAGATTAGCCTCATTTCGTATTTCTGTTGTTAATATAGAAGGGACAGGGAAAATAGAAAGATGAATGTGTATGCAAAAGATTTCAAACCTATTGGATGTGCTAGTACTGGCATCCTTTTTAGCTCTGACCTGAACTCTCATCATCTTCAAAAGTGTCCACAGAGTCCATGATAATCTAACACAGATAACTTTAGTTGACCAAAATTGTGCAAGAAGATGCCATATTCCCCTGGTTACATAAGGCTGAAAATCACAGGTTTTCTCAGGCAGTGCAGTGTGATATAATTCCTAATCCCTGAAGAGTGCACTGTTCTTTAATATTTCATAGGACTTTCTATAAATGAAATCTCTGTGAAATAGGTCAAGTGGAAGGTGAAGTGGATGACACGCGTTTTCATCTGAAAGGAGAACAGAAGTGAAGCATCAGCTTTAGCATTTACAGTGTTTTGAGTCACTCCGCTCAGAAGTCTGTTTCCCTGAGGCGATCCGGATCAGTCAAATGTGACATGGGAGACCTCTGGTGGCCACCAGGAGTATGGTGGTTGAGCAAACTGAATAACGAATGTATTTGAAGGCGGTTTTGTTTCAGTAAAACCTTCTTGATTGAAATAACTACTCCACATACGTATAAAAAGGTCAAATTTCACATAATATAGCGAGTAAAGCCTGAGATCATAATTCACACAAAATAGTTTGTTTTGATGTTCAAAAATCTTTTAAACCATAATATTTAAGCAACAAAAGTATGTCTTAGGAATTCTAATTTTGCCGTGAATAAAAGTATCCACTAGGGGGAAGCACCTACCAAAGTGAAACACATCTGGTTGTTTCAAGGATTAGGCTATCCCGTTCAATTTGCATAATTTCCTGAAGGAGTTAAGTCTTTGTATGTTGTTGAAGGAAAAATTAGATACTGCAATGTGAAACATAAGAGTAGTTGTTTGTACTATTCCATTCATCCGTCCATCCATACATTCTGGACGGACCCGACAGGCTTCTGGTTACATAGACAACACAGAAACAATGGACAACGTTAACTTTGCACGACAGTTGTCAAACAAAATGACATTGTTCCGGTGCATGGAAAATGGAATGAGAAAAAATCCCCTGCTGTTCCATATGAGAGGAGAGGAGTGTGGAAATTCCACTCTAATCTCTGCACAAGGATGAGATTTACGTCTTTCTTGATTCAATGAAAAGGTTATTAATAGAAGGATGACTCCTGACTCATTGAAGTAATAGTAAAAAACTTAAAAATAGACTTTCAATAGTGAGCTGAGTCAGCAACTCACCTGACTGCACAAATGGATAGAAGAATGAAAAATTACTTTGTCACTGAGATGTCTGTCATTCCTTTGAACTGATGAATGATGACACGAGGCTGGAAACAATCCAAGTTAACTTGTGCCTTGGTTAAATCAAATACATCAACTAGTCATTATTTGACGCTTGAACTTAAGGTTGAAAAAGAATAACATTTGGTGTTATATCCACCTGAAGTGAAACCTAAAAGATTTACCAAATTCTTTATTTATTGTAATTTTGATTAAAAGAGTTGTAGATGAACGAAGATTCTGAAGTGGTCTAGTCAAAGTTTAGACTATTATATCACTGAGTGATGTAGGATGAGACAAGACAAGCTCAAAACTTTTCAATATAAGGCTAAAATTCCTCCATAGCACAGCAAAAGACGAACTTGGAAAGAAATACAGCAGCCACATCATGCTAAAACGAGAAAGTTTCTCATTACGAGTTTTACATCACATTATAGTAAGATCTGCCTAATTAAAATCAAAATATATTTATGTTTAAACATGAAAGAATGTAACAGAAAAATGGCAACATTTTGTTATTATTTTCCTACATTAGGATTTAGCATTTGTAATTAAGCACTTCTGTCCACAGGTTGTTGGGTTTGGGAGGTTCGACATGAAAAAAATTAGTTTAAATGATTTCCCTTGTGAATTCCTTCAGATTAATTACATTATACTTATTAATTATTTGTGTTCACTCTCTAAATCATGTGGTAATGGGCTCAAACACAGAGACTTAATATTTGGAAATGATTTATTAATGATTAAAATCAATTTAATAATCTGATCAAATGAAGCAAGACTAAAGAGTGAAAACAGAAGAAACTTTTTTTTTTTTTTTTTACAATACCAATGAGCTAAAAAGGGGGAACTCAACCAGAGTAAGAAATGCAATTCTGCCCAATTAGTGCCCTATTTGGACCGTGTCTGTTTATTATTATTTTATGCATTTTTTAATGAGTTGTCCCCACTCGTGGCGGGTTTGAAACACCCAGCAGAAGCAGCGCAGGTTTGATTCGCGTTGTCTGCAGCTGCTGCATGTTGTCGTTGCTCCGCCCTCGACTGGTCTCGCCTGGTCTCGGTCGGATCGCTGCGCAGCGCTTAAAGGCAGGAGAAGCGTCGGCCTGAGCGGCAGGGAGGCTGCAGCGCAGCGCACACCAGTCCGTGTTCACACGCTGCGACCGCTGGATTTAAAACACCGCCGCTTCCAGTCAGGTTGGAGTCAAGGGGAGGCAGAAAGGCAGTCTAAAGCTTCAACGTTGAGCTTGAGGAGGATTTTAAAGACATTCATTTGGGGAGGTGGGTTGAACTGCTGTGCTCCCCTCCTGCCCCGGACAGCAGCCGTAAGTGATCCCGCTGTCCCGCTTCCAGCTGCCGTGTGAGCCATGGCGCTCCAAGCCAGAGTGATTTACGACTTCAACTCTGAAAACCCGGGGGAGCTGTCGGTGAAGGAGAGCGAAATCTTAACTCTGACCAGCGAGCAGGACATTGATGGCTGGCTGGAGAGCTCCAACAGCAAAGGGGACAGAGGACTGGTCCCCGCCTCTTACGTGGAGATCCTGCGCAGCGAGGCTGAGCTGAACAGCTACAACATCAACGTGGAGCCTCGGTACTCTAATATCCCTGCTGGAGGCTTTGACAAACTCCAGAACTTCTCTAAGCCTCCTCCAGTAGGGTTGACCCCATACACGGCGCCGATACAAGAGCATCACAACAACAAACACCACATCCAAGGCAGCGATGATGACTGGGATGATGACTGGGATGACAGCTCCACTGTGGCAGACGAGCAAGGGAATGTGGGAGGAAGGTACCAGGACTCCGAGGGCTCCACATACAGAGTGACAACACACATTGGTCCAAGAGGAAATGCAACGCAGGCGAAGAGCTCAGCCACAGTGAGCAGGAACCTGAACAGGTTCTCTACCTTTGTGAAG